GGAGGCTGTGAGAATTCTGATGGGATAATTCGTGAAGCGATTCCAATTACGTGGCTTTAATCGCATGGATTCATTCGACGATGCGCTACGCTGCGCTCGCGATCCAATAATTGTGTTACACGCGTCGAGAAATAGTAGGAGATAAATTTGATCAATGATGGGATACGACGGGATTCTCGCTGATTTATATGCAGCGTTAATAGGGAAAAGCAGAATGTACTAATGTATTAATGCACGGATCTGCAAAATCTATTCTTGCAAATCGACAAAACAGTAGTTTAATAAATAAAAAATGATTGTAAGAAATAAATAGTGAAATAATCAATAATAAATAAATTAATAATTAATTGTAATAAATAATTAACAACAATGAATATTAATATAAAATCACGAAATTAGACAAATTTAAATTTAATGACCCGTTCAAAATATATATATATTAATTGATAATAAAGATAGATTAATGACAATAAAGATAGATTAATTTTGAACGTTTTAATTTAATTTAATTTAATTTACATTTGATATTTGAATTAAATAAATACAGCACATAAATGATTGTTTAAGCAGAACTTATTTATGCAAGCACAACAGTATTTGGTATTACATTATAACCAAACTGGTAAAATTTGTGTTAATTTTTAAAATTTTATCATTTTACTTTCATTTGCGAGATTTTTTGTCTCTCGCAATATATCGCGCATTCCTGATATTGCAATTTCCCGGTCAAAGACGATCGTTGACCTAGAGAGTAATATACACAGGTGAAGACTACAAGGGATTTCGAAATGACGGAATTACGAACACATCATGAGTTATATAACAGTAAATTATCATAATTCCGCAATATATCTAATAACAGCGGAAGTATTGTAATAAAAAGATGTTACGTCGTTATCGAAAAAGAAGCAGCCTATAATGTCCAAGTGGAAATTACATCAAAATAATAAAATTATAGCCGTAAGATTGTCTATAAACTGTACAAAATTTCATATTACAGTATGGATAATAAAATTACGTTTAATTATAGCATGCATGCATTTAAACAAGACTATTTTAACCACATCCTGTTATTAAATGAATTGATTTTCCTCAATATATTTATAAATATAAAAGGTGATAAAAAGTTGAACTCATTATATATGGAAATATTTGAAATGACTAAGTCATGTAAATAATTGCATGTAGAATCGATGCAAATCGAGTGAACGGAGAAAGAGAGAGGCGTATTGCGATCGCATCGCTGATAATCGCTTTAGTGCGTCAGTTTGATCCTTCACGATCCCAAAATAAAGCGAAAAAAAATGCAATTTTCTCTAGATTAGATAGAGCAGAGCAAGGCTTTTTCATCTATTTCTCGCGATAATTTTATTGTGCTGTTGCACTAAAACCTTTCGCAGCCCATTATTGTTTTACGTGAAGTAAAGCGTAAAGCATGTACCCTTTCCCTGGAGATGTATTGTTTTGGAAATAGAATTCTGAGCAATAGTCTGGTATATTCACGTTCGTATTTTCCTGAGAAGAAAGATATTCTCCTTCTTTATCGTCACAAAATGTGTGAGTTTTTATTTCTGTGAAAAACGCACGCGTTCCTCATGCGGGTTTTCGTGAAAGGGCGTTACAATGCGCCGCGATTACAATGAACGTGCCGAGTGCAATAATAATTATGTTTCTGAGAACTGCACGTATTAAATATTTAAAGATCGTGCTTGTACTCTCAAAGAGCAATCATGATTGCATAATGTATATAGTATATAAGCACGTTAAACAGATATTGTTTGCTGTCGTAAGTTTTCATATTACTTTAAAATTAAAATTGATAAGATAGCCTTATCCACTATACACATACAATATATATAAAAAAATGTTGTGAAACAGTTTCACCTGAATCTCCTAAAATATAATAAACAATGTTATTACATTAAGTAAAATAATATTGTTGATTGGCGAATTTGCAGCTGAATAATTTTTAATAGTAATCGAATTTACTGGCATTAGAGATGATTAGACATGACATCGCTGTCCTCAAAACGCAACAAGGCATTACTTAACGAAGTAATTTTGTGGATACGACAACCACAGCATTTCGTCAATCATATAGCTATAAAATTTCGCAGTCAACGAGATGTTTATCAAATGTCCACTTCTTCGAGGTAGGTGCGCCCAAACATCCTCGGACATGCGACTGACGACGAGGAACGTCTTGGTGGGAGGCAAAACTCTCTCTCTAGAGCTCAGCTGATCATTAAAGCTGCTGCTGGCACAGTCAAACTTTCACGCTCGGCGATACCGCGAGCTTCGCGAGCGAAGAATATTAGTCTGTCACCGCTTTTAAGGTCTGTCCGCGCTTCCGAGTACAGGACGTCGATTCCAATTCCGCTTTGATTCCAGAGCGGGACGTGAAAATCGTGACGCGTAACAAGTCTAAGTCGGGACGAAGAAGTTCCGCTGGGTTGGCTACGTGACCGAAAATCCGGCTGACGGTTCGGAAAAAAGTAAAGGAGGCTGATAAAAACTCGATCGATTATTGCGGTAGTGTATGGTTCTTGTTAACAGAACCAATTGACATAATATCGAAGGTTTATTCTTCTCGCGATACTTTGTTATGAAAGTTTTTATATCGATGACTACAACGTATAATTATCAATAAGTTTATTAGGTTTTTTTTTTTTAAGAGATTACTCTCGGGCAATCTGACGGAGGAAGTGCGTGGCGCTCAAGCGGCAAACTTTTTGCGAGACGTGAACAAATTCAATGATAAATTATTGCAAGAAGTATATTAAACTACAATAAGAGAAACTGCAACTACAGGCTGTCTTATTGGATAAATCAACGGTTAATAATTAAGAGATAACGAATTAATTGCATCTCGATCTGAATGATATCGAAATGGTTTGTTCGTAAAATATTACAGAGTATATATGCATTCTGTGCTGCTAAGTAATATATTTTAATGTCGAAGATTTCGAATAAAGATAAATGATACTTGACGCGGGAGGTGGCATTGATCTTTCGATTCTTAGAATCGGATTATCGGGACCGACGATCGTGCATACGAGTCATACGTTATTAGTGAAAGTCGTCCGCGTTTGTACAGTTTGAGGATCAAGACTAACGGGCGCTACGATATTCCCACCAAGAATCGCGTGAAGTGGTAAAGAAGGTCAGGAAGGAAAGGAAGGATCAAGAGAGCTTCACCTGACTGGAGAAAGGGAAAGATAATTGAGCAAAATGACGGGCCGGTCTCTTCTCGACATTCAAATTTCGACACACGATGTCGTGAGAAATCAGCAAAACAACGTTTAAAAAGTCGAGAGACCACAGAGCGAAAAGTTGTGTGTCATTGTTCTCTTTGTCAGCTCTACTCGAGCGAATATCGAATCGAAGAGAGCACTTTGAAGTAAACTAAGAATTGAGATTCAAGAGAAAGGAACGGATCTGAGATAAAGACAGCGCGAGACCACGAACTAAGAAGCTTCTGGAGAGTTATTAGGAGCAAAAAGATTCAAGGGGAACCATCATACTTGGTAGAAAGGTGCTCTTCGCGAGACTGCGCGAAAGATATAAAGTACTACTGCTAGAAAAACAAATGGAAATTTCGTAGAATAATACTTCACGATGCTTTCCACAGAGATAAGATATTTCAAGTAAGAGTTGAACTCTGCAGAAATTTAAAAAGAAAGAAAATATTAAACATGAAACAATTGAAGCAAGAAAAAGCAGTCAGGACATGAAGCTTCAACTTTTATCTCCTTTTGTCCTCCAAGAGCGACGAGATTTATATTGTATATACAATTGTAGATAATATTATTCGCTAACTTATAACTTATAAAAAACAGAGGATTTAAGTTTGATAGCATTATCTCTATGAAATTATGATAATTTTCTCATGCTATCAACAGTTAACAACTGTTATTTGCTAGTAGATGCTAAGAAGACGTAAGTAGAAGTTTGAAGATTAAACTCCATAAAGCCTTTGTATTACAAACTCTCTTTAGCTTCATCATTAAAAACTTTCAATATTTCAATATTAGAAAGATATTGAAGATTGCGTTCTGTTATACAGATTTGCATACAACAAACAATTTTATTTACATAGAGGAGTATCGAGAAAGAGAGAGAAAGCTTTGTTAGATGATCGGTAATTTTCTATTTTCTCAGCTGAAAAAGAGATCAGAGAAGATTATCTACGGTCAATCTTTCACTCGAGGATCAAAAGAAATCGTCTGTTGACAGAATCTCATCTCTCTTACAGAAGATTATTATGAACAATTTTAGCGGGAAATTGGATGAATAAAATCACGAAATGTGTATAAAAACAAAAAATCAGCTTCGAAGCCATTTATTTGCTGAAAGCGAATGAGAATTGGAAGAAATGAAGGACGTAATTTATCATAGAAAAAAATCTCGTTTTTTTCGGCATTAATAACAAGTTACAATCTTACTTGAATGAAGTTTAATCTTCGTTACTCGTTCTCGAAAGAGCACGAACTTTAGTTATTCCGATTTATATTCAAGCAAATCGATTTGTGGAAAGATGCGGAGGATGTGAGGAACCTCAGTCGTAAGAACGCGGCTAAGCATCGATCAGACGAGATACGCTCGCACGGGGTGATCGACAACAGGATTGCACCGACAACGATCCATCGATTCTCCACCGCGAATTGGAGCGTAAGAGATCCGTATTCCCGCCGGTATCATTCCGTTTACCCGACCGGAAACGCTCCGAGAAGAATACGAATTCACCTCGGTTCCTGCAGGCTGTTTCTCGCTTCGCCGATGCACGAAAGAAGTTCGTGACGAAAGCAGGGCGCGTTCGAACGTGACGGAGATCGTTCGTGATAAAAAAGAAAAGGAAAAAAGAAGAAAAAGAGAAAAAAATTATGTCAGATAGCGAGACAATTGTCTGTTGAAGGACCGATCTTGATATTCTGCCGCGGCGCGTAAAAAGAAGAGAATCGTCACGCGAGAATCCATTTGCCATCGTTGATCGGGTCGACAAGCTGATATCCTGAGGATGACGCGTGTCGCATATCGACTCGGTCTCTATCAGCTCCTCCTGGGGTTCAGCTTGCTGATCGAGCCCCTGCTGGGCTACAATGTCCTGATGGCCACTATGGGTGGTACCAAGTCTCATACGGTGCCCTTCGTCGCCCTTGGTACGAGTCTGAGGTCACGGGGGCATAACGTCACGCTGCTGAGCGCTTTCCCAGGTCCCGCAGCGAATAATGGTCTTCACGAACTGGTGCCGTCGATCCTCGAGGTGATTTACGATCTACTACGCATGTCGTCTCTCCCCATGCTTTGACGGATTCCGAATTCCCCCGCGGGGTTTTTGCCGCGTTTTACGCGCGCCATTTCTTTCTTCCAATTTGGCTCTTGACTCATATTTAATTTTATTACACACCGAGTAATTTACTAGAGTCGTCGGCTTGTATCGCCTGAGTTTTTTTTTCTTTTTGCTCGTAAAGTTCTCTTTTGAAATGTCTGCTTTACTTCTGTTTTTATTTCTCTATTCCATTTCTACTCGATTTTAATTTTTCAAAGTAATTTATATTTTTTAAAAGAAGCAAACATACGATATCGTTTTTTTTTTTCATGTTAAATTATCTTTACCTTGGGTACATACGATTGGGTCACTTTTTGTCTTGCACATTATTTTTCTTCGGAAAATTATATAGGAGTATCATGTAATTAATTAACATTTATATACAATTTTTTTAATGCACAACCTTACAAACACGATTGGGAAAGTTATTTTCCAAAGTTACTTATAAGTTACTTTTTTATTATAAAAATGGAATACAATAAATTCGCGTATTTTGTTTTTTATATTATATTTTATCATTTGCTCTAATTTATTATTACTTTTTGTATTCAATTTCTATAATGAATATAAGGTAACTTAAAACTTATAAGTAACTTTTCCAGCCCTACTTATAAATATTTTTTAAAGATGTTAAGAATGACTTAACAATTTTTATATATTTGTCAAAGTGATGAAAGTTAACTCGGGACACGAATGATCCATCATGTGTAATGAAGGACCGGAAAATTATCATAATAATACTTAAAAATGAGAAGGTTCAGCTCCGAGGACAAACAAGTTTTACGACGTAATATTGTAACACGGAAGTTGAAAGTTTCCGGGCTAATGATAATCCAACGACCACGCAAGCTAACGGATTTATGTATTGTATCGCGCGCACATATTCACCGCTCGTGTCTCACGACAGGCTTATGTCGAGAATTTCACGGCTGAGTGGGACCTAGTGGGAGCCAGGTTCCGGAATGAGCTTCCGGTATCACCGTGGGACGCTATGAGATACGCCTGGGAGTCATGCGAGGCTTTACTCCAGGACGCGTCGTCGATAGCCAGTATGAGAAAACCGAATGGCGATCCGCACACTCGATGGGACGTCGCGGTACTTGACGGCGCTTACCCCGAATGCATGTTGGGAATCCTCCATGGCGAGAATGTGCCGACGATAATGTTGAATACGGTAATATTCTTTTCGCCAAGAAGCGCTTGGGACTCTTTGCAATATTTCGATTTTCGTTACACCTCGTTTTCTTGCCACGATAACAGCCTATTTGGACTTTTACTCGAAACCGATAAATGATATTGTATTAAATTGATCCATATAAAAATCATGGCGGTAGAGAATTATTGTATATAATAGAGAATTGTCGCGCACATTTTTATTGAGATATTTTTTATTAAAATATTTTTTAGCTAATATTTGTAATACTATAAATTTTTCAAGCTGTTAATTTGCTGCAGGATTATAGAAAAGTTTCTAAACTGTGCACATCAAATTGCACAACGTTGATAGCACGTTATTTTCATTAGCCCTCTCTTTATTTTTTATTATTGATAATATCGAGTGCTTTAAAATTAAATTATTTTAAAGTTCTTGAGTTTCTAGAAATCTATTATCTTGTAGTCAATAGGCTAATATTTCATTTGTCGTACGACAAATTTTTCAAGCATGTTAATTGGCTGCACGTTTATATTATAAAAAAGTTCTTGACTGTACACACAAAATTGCGCAACGTTGATAGCGCGTCACTCTCATAAGTCCTCTCTTTACTTTTCATTATTGACAATTTTGAAAGTACCTTTTAAATTAAATTATTTTAAAAAAGTTCTTGAGTTTTTCCAGAAACTTTTCATTATTCTCAATTTTATGTAGTCAATAGGCTAACATTTCATTTGTCATTGTTATACAACGAATTCTTCAAGCATGTTAATTGGCAGAATAGATATAAGTTCTCGAGTTTCTTAAAATTCTTTATCTTGCAGCTAATTAATACGCTTGAAAAATTTGTCGTACAACAAATGAAATATTAACCATAGAATAGAATTCTCAATCATAATATGGAAAGAACGGTTTTGCTGAAATATAAAAATTTAACTAGACACAGGTCTAAAAATAATTTTGTTTGAATCATCAAAATAAATGTAGGACACTTAAACTGTTTACTAAATGCAAATTGTTAAAACTTTTTGCAACATTGTCATAAATGTTTCACCTAATTATTTTGATGATTTGACAAAATTATTTTCAGACTTGTTTTTAAAGTATTTACAAAGCTAAATTTGTAAATATCTCAACAAAGTCGTTCTTTCCGTGTGTACATTATACAATATACATATCATATTATATATGACATAAAAGCGTTGCAACATGCAGCGATAGACTTTATTTTACCGTTGCGGATTTCATAATATAATGCATTTTTTAAATATAAATAAAAAATTGACTTTTGAATAATTAGTTCCCGGTTAGTAGTTAAATATTTATACATGGTTGCATTATTTCTTATGTGTGAAAGAAGTTGAATATAAATCTTTAAATATAAAATTCTAATTAATACATATTCTTAATATTAAAGGACCGATTCTCAAGAGAATGGATAATATAATAGAATTGTCCTATTCTCTTAATCTTTTCTTCGTCTTCAGAAATATCGTAAGAAAAAACGCAATTGAATCCATGGTTATTCCAGCGGAATGTGAAAAACATTTTTATAAGTACTGTATTCCGATATTTCCGCGTGTAAATGAAAAGTAAATAGTGAATATCACATTGTTCACTCGTGTGTAACGAATATGACAAAGTGTGAAATAATCTCAAAACATCGTAAAACAGTTTACACGCTTCTCTCAGTATGTTAAAACAATTTTAATGCGCTAAGGAAATTGTTAGCCAGTTTAGTTAGTATCAATTTCTTCTTTATTTCTTTCTTTGTGATGACGTCATCATGCGACAAAATGATAAAACGAGTTTGCATAACGGTGAAATAACGATAAGAAATTTTTTTCTTCCTTTTCTAGAACCTGATACCTTTGCTTCATTAAAGCCATTTGCTTTCACTGTGCAACGTTGCTGTTAACGAATAATGAGAACGACTTGATGTTATCTTGCAGGTGGCACTGTACAGCGGGTCCATTATGCGACAGGGCAATCCATCACCTTGGTCAGTGACACCATATTTCGGTAAAGCGATCACGCAGGACATGACTTTCTTCCAGAGAGTCCTGAACGCAGCGGCTCTGCTCACTCTAAAAATTATGCACTGGTTCACGCTCTCGATTTATCTTCAGCCAACGCTCCAGAGATACCTCGGTAAGCACTAAATTCAATTTCGGCCATTGTGCCCCCGCTGATTCATCGAATCATATATCGATACAGCCAATTGTATGCTAATATCGTATATCTTTATTTATAATTAGATACTCATATAGTCCCAATGACCGTGTCGTATTTCGTTTTTTGACAGGCAATCATATACCCAACGATCTGCACAGCCTAACGGCGGAGGTCCCCCTGACTTTGCAGAACAGTCATTATAGCGTGGGCGATTCTGTGCCCTATTTGTCGAACGTCGTAAACGTGGCGTGCCTTCACTGCAGACCGGCGATGCAATTAAGCTCCGACTTAGAATCCTTTCTACGACGCGGTAACTTCCTAATTTCGCATTTCAGCTTCACGAATTGCATTGTTCTCAATAGTTGCTAAACGTCTCGAAATACCTTTTCACATCTCGTAACTGAACCGTTCATGTGATCAAAATGATGTTTTATTTTATCGTCTATAGCCTGATCTATAATGTGCTTTATGTTTTCTCTTTGTTGTCTTTTGTTATTTGTTACAGCTTGTCTTTTATCCGGTTTTTCATTTCCTGTCGTTTGAGAGATAAAAGTTAACGAACTTCGAAAGAAATAAAAAACACGTGGCAAGAAATACAACCGTCGATAAAACGATTACACGGAGGGAAAAAGCAAGAAACAGAAAATAAAGAGTACACATTACAGATCAGACTTAATTGTAGCTAACATTTCTTTAGCTGAAATAAATTGTTCCAATTCATCGAATCTTGTTATATACATCAATGATCAGTTCGATCATTCACACTATACTAAATTAATGCATATTGAAGACTGTTTTATATAAAATATCTAAATGCAGTGAGATTTACTATTGTGATCAAATTTGACAATTGAAATAATACATTTATTTATATTAAGTAATGTGATAATATTATTATTATTAGATAATCGTTTAAATTGTGTCTATGCTTTTACATTATTAGATAATCGTTTAAATTGTGTCTATGCTTTTACATTATTAGATAATCGTTTAAATTGTGTCTATGCTTTTACATTATTAGATAATCGTTTAAATTGTGTCTATGCTTTTACATTATTAGATAATCGTTTAAATTATGTCTATGCTTTTACATTAGCTTTATTAATTTCATGTATAATAGCTTATAGCTAATCTAGTGTAATGCAATTAAACGAATTTATTATAAAAAAATGGTTGTGGCTTTAACACCATGCGGTATTTATCTTATCGTATTTATAATATATCAATACCAATTTATAGCAACTCCATGATATCGATTCAAACTCTATAACGTTAAATCCACATTCATATTTTTAGTGTACCTAACAAGATTCAATAAATTGAAAAAATTTATTGTAGCTATAAGGAAAAGAAATGTAAGAATTATACATGTTAAAAACACCACATGGTGCTAAAAATTCCCATATTTTTTGAGAGTGTAAATATATGTTTTTGTAATAAATTTTATCAGATATAACGGCTCTTCTTAATGTAAAAGTATCAGATATAAAATTCTATCAACTGAAGCATAACGATGACTCTTCTACTGTTTCGTATAAGAACCATATCAAAAGGATTGGCATCGTAATTTTTGCAACGTATTGTTTTCTATTTTCTGAGGACTCGCTATTCAATTGGAGTAAACGTGCAATAAAAGTCTCCCGGAATGTGCCGCAATGTTGAACAAACTTTTACAGGTTTTGTGTTTGTCTCGATGGGATCGTCGGTGCGAGCTTCTGGGATGCCGGAGGCATTACGGCAGATCTTTTTCGCGGTATTCTCCACGCTACCGTACAATGTCGTATGGAAGTGGGACGGTAGCAAGATCAAGGATCTACCGGCGAATGTGAGGACAGCTGCCTGGTGGCCGCAACAGGAGCTGCTCGGTCATTCCAAGCTACGTGCCTTCGTTTCTCACGGCGGACTGCTATCTTTGCACGAAGCGGCTTACCACGGTGCACCGACTCTGGTCTTACCAGTCTTCTGCGATCATGATGGAAATGCGGCACAAGCTGGTAAATCCATTCGCTTTATATCTGAGGCACGTATCGGCGGCCTTCTGCTCTGCTGAGCCCGATATAATAATCGAGAATAATCGTCGAGGCTTTTGACAAATTTCGTTCTTCCAAACGAATGACAGAAAATGAGAGAAAATGTATATTTCTACCAATGTAGGTAGATTAATTTTTATTTCAGTAGCTTTAACTTTTTATTAATCTCGATTTTCTTCTAATTTTAACAATTAGAAAAAGGAATATATATAAGGAGTAAATGAAATTGAGATTGAAATTAATGTATATTGCGGTAGAAATGGACCGAATCAAGTAGAATCAATTGATCGTCGGTTAAAATAATGAGGGTTCTTTTACCAATTCCAATTAACGCTAATCAATAATTAACTCAATCATTAACGATTGCCAACGTGAGAACTGAACAGTTTGTCAAAAAAGGCAGAGAGAGGAGAAGTTTTGATTGATTAAATTGCTATTAGCATTTCTGTGAGAGTTGACTATCGATTAACTTAAAGGTTGGTGAAAGAAGCCTTGAATGTGCAGCGAAGAAAATGGTTTGAGCGTCTCTGGAAAGTGAAAACTATATAAGTTTAGATGAATTTTACGCGAAGTAAAGAGAATTTATTATACGATTAATTCAAGATTGCAAGATTTAATGCAAGATTGTTGTATTTTTGTGTGCTTATTTAACAGAAAAATTGGGTTACGCTTTGGTAATGGATCTGGCTGGTATATCCATTAGTGCGCTTCGCAAAGATATAATTAAAGTCGCCGCACTTCACAATAATTCGTACAGAGAGGCGGCTAAAAAGAGAAGTGCGTTATTACGTGATCTTCCGATCGGTCCTGGAGAATTAGCCACGTGGTGGGTCGAACACGTTGCCAAATATGACGGAGCTGTTCATTTGAAAAGTTCAATTCGGTAATATCATTTTTTAAAATAATTATTATTAAACATACCGATTTCTTACAATAAATATGCATATGAATATTACGAATACTCATTTGAGTATAGCAATGTTCGGATAATTTTGCTAAGATTTTGAAAGATTCGTTGACAATTCTTGATTTAAATTGTAAAGCACTTACCCTCCAAAGCCAAGAATTTAAGAATAATAATTTTATAATTGTTATTAGATCCAATAATTGTTATTAGATCTGAAAAATTATGATTGAAGATAGAATATTATTATAAATATTTTAGTACGTAAAAATGTTAATTTTTATTTAAAGTTTTTTAAACTTTTGATCTGGAATGTAAATAATTAATATGGAGTATTTTTTATAAACTATTACGTAGTATTCTTGTGAATTATAGAGTCTACAGAAATTTTATCTTGTTTCTTTTATAACGAATATTTAACGAGAGAACAAAATTTATTGCAATTTAAATTACGTTATTAAATATATTGCCGATCAAAGTGAGGAAATGAAGTATAAAGTTAAATATAATATTTCAGGTACATGAGCGTGTTCCATTATTACAGCGTGGATGTCGTACTGTTTTATATATTGAGTTTAATTCTGATAATTTATGGACTCAAAAAATTATTCTGGCGAGCGGTAATCGGTCAGGATGTCTTCAAAAAGAAAATAGATTGACGGATAATTCTGTGAAATTCTCTGCTAAATTAATTTTATTTATTGTAGCAAATAGGATGTGTCTCTTAATGATATCTCTTAATGATATGGTAAGTATTGGAACTAAATAGAGATTAAATAAATCGAAGAATATATTCTCGATTTTTAAAGATCTCTAATAAATTTTTGTAAGTTGTAATTATAAATCACTTGTAATTATAGTTTAGCTATTACGCTATCGATTTGTAATTATACAATTCATGATAAATTTGTTTTACTTGTATACCATTTGTAACGTGTTTACATAACAAATTAAAGGACTTATACGTGAAATAAGAGATACTTTTATAAGAGATATAAGAGATACTTTTATATGAAATAAGAGATACTTTTATGTAGAATATACTATAATATACTATAATATTTTCATTGAATGAGAGAGAGAGAGAGAGAGAGAGAGAGAGAAAGAGAGAGGAGAGAGAGAAATTCATTAACTGCTGATACAATAGGAATCTACTTTTCAAAAGATGTTAAACCTATTATTCTACAATTGCGAACGTAATTGTAAGTAGTTGTAATTGTAAGAATTGATTAATCACATTCGAATATTTTCCTTATATTTGACTGTGACGTTAAATGAATTTGAATGTGAGGTAAATGATTCTTACAACTTTCAATCACTTACGCTTACGCAATTATATTACGTATGGGCTTTACAGCAAAAGGATTTTGCAACCATTCTTTCTATGTTATTCATATACTCTATTTTATAAAAATTAACAAATTAAGTCTCATAATTTATCTTAATTAAAATTTCAACTTGACGCGACAATTAACATCGATATCGTTATGAAAAAGTTTATTATCCCAAATCAATTTCAATAAAGTAAATCAACAATTATTAAATGATAAATTCTGTAATCAACAAAAGTTAAATAAACTTATATTTATATAAAATAATTAGTTAGTTATATATAAAATAATTAGTGAAGCGCTGAATAAAATAGATTTATACAATAGAAGGACAGCAACATGTTCGAACGCTGTCGTACTTTTTTAAATAGAATTCTTAGATATTTCAAATTTAACGAGAAAATTGGCGAGAATGTTCCTGATGAAAATCAATACGCATAATAATTAGCTAATAGAATCTTGATGGAAGGAAATACACACAAAGGAAGATGTCAAAGGTCAATGGACGTGTCTACATATATAAGGAGCTTTTCGAAGGATTAATAATGTTGATGTCCAAACATAGAGAATAGCAGGGCTTTATGCATACATGTTCATGTGACAAGCCGCAATTTGTGCAAACATGCAGAAACTAACGATTGGCCTGGAGCGAGTTTGCTTTCGATGAAGGAGGAAGTGCTGTAGAAAAAAAAGCCGGTTGCGAGCTTGGGAAAAGGATGCCAGACGGTCGAGGGCGGAAGTGATCGGAAAGAAGGCAGGGCAGATGTTCATCGAGCTCAACGACACCAATTTATTTACGTCTGCTTAAATATATTTTATCTAAAAATACGAAAGATATCCAGGTTATCGCGGAGGTCGCGGCGTGACCAGGTATGCCAATCGGCTTTATCGATTTTACGCGACATAGTGGCGCAATGAAAATAATCGTTATCTGACATCGTTGGCGCGATAAAATGAAATAAATAGATAGCGAAGATTCAAGAACTGTCGCTCTCGACAAAAAGGAAGTAGTACTAATCAGAAAATAATGATCACTCGGAATTTAATTGGTATTGCCTCTCGACTACAATTTGCACTTTAAATAATTTTATTTTAATCGTTATTATTTATGTTCTCCTGATACATTCAAGATAATGAAACTGAAACTGATATGAAAATTTCCATAAGCGAACATCTTGCTAAACTTTGCAGTTAAATTCATGGCGTTAATTTGCGAAATTTCTTATAATTTTCGTGTATGCTGATTCCCCCGTTCTTCCAGAATTCCATTACTATTCATGATATGTAAGAACGTCAGGTGTAAAATTACGCATAATTGCTGAATATAATTTGGAACAAAGTTCTGACAGGCAAATTTTTAATAACGGTTTTATATTTGACTTATAAAATTTCAGACTAATTTCTGGTCGTTATTATTTGATTCACTTGATCTTTTTACATCATGTTATTCTCATAAAGAAGATTTTTATGCATCATTTCTACCAATGTAAATTTAATCTTGTTATCTTCTTTAATTGCTCGTTATCTTCTTTTAATTTTTAAAACTAAAAAGAAAGGATAAAAAATAAATCAAGAGATTAAAGTTAATCTCTGTATCTAATAGAAATGAACATTAAAAATCTCCTTTTCAGAATAAACAATGTATTTTCAAATGTATCAGAATGATGTAAACGATTTGTCATTTTGCCATTAAGCTTTAGTATTACATAAAGTTAGAAGGCTGAAATTTTTTAGCAGATTGACAATTTGCTCTTTGAATAAAAAAAGAAAAAAAAAAAAAGAAGTATTGACGTCCCATGGCGAATTCGCTTCGATTACGTCGAGAACTCATTCTCGACTTTATTTGACGGGCACAACGAATCTTTAGCATCAATCCAGCGTAATAACGCAATGAAATACTTGATCGTCCTCTCAATTTCACCTCGTTGAGGATCGAGGCATCCGTCGAATCGACGATTGTTAAGAAAAACGCCGGAGGTGATTCGCTGTGGCGACCGCGCGGCGACGCTCGCATCGACGCTCCTCCCCGCGACTCCATGGGACGTCCTTCAGTGTGCCGTTGCGTTCGCGGCTACGTTCTGGCCGCGTCGGTCTCGTCCGGTGGCTACAATCGCGACTCGATCAGTAGCAGCTGACTCGCTGGTCGGAGTATACGTTGTCGCGCTGCCTACTCGAAGCGAGCTGCGCACGCGCGCGTCTGCACGTCCGCCCGCCCGCGTTCGTTCGACGGCGAAAGAGTTTACTCCCGTACAAACGAAAGTCGTCCGAGGACCAAGATAGTGTGCGCGTCGTCGTCGTGCCTGCCAGCCTGTCCATACTGTGTCAGTGTTCTGTGCGTGAACTGTGCGTGTCTTCTCTCTCTCTCTCTCTTTCTCTCTCTCTCTCTCTCTCTCTCTCTCTCTCTCTCTCTCTTTCTCTCTCTCTCTCTCTGTGCCGTGCGCGATATCGGTGTCGCATACGTTCCGCGCGTATATCTATACGTTCTCGGAAGAAGCGGAGAAGAGTGAGATATGTCGTTCGCAGTCTCTGTCACCGCCATCGCCACCGCGAGCTACTGCGTGACAAACGGCGCGCATATGAATCGTGCGCACGCCACAGACACGCACGACGAGGTGAGCGATCCCCACGTTGAGCGTATAAAGAGCGCTTTTATCCACGCCGCGCGAATAGGATGATAATCCGCGCCTCGTGCGGAAACAAAAGCGAGCGAACGAGGTGAAACTTCAGCGCTCTGAATGTAGCGCTGAATTAACTGTAATCAAATACGACTTATACGACGGATGGAAAGAAGACTGTGGAGAAAAGCAGCGGGAACGAATTTATATACATATGTTCATACACGGCGCACACGTGCAAATCTATATACTGTGTACAAATACATTTATATGTCGAGTATTAATGTTTATATTAAGCGCGTGGATGGGAGGGATAAACAGGAAGAGCAGCGGAGGGGTGGAAGAAGAAACGCGGGGACGCCGCGGTCGAGACTCGTGTGAACGCACGTGGGCTTTTAGGAGAGAGCGACGGGATCATGTGCGACCTCCGGTCCATCCACGGAAGTGGCGGGGTAGCGAAACCGGCACACTTTATGCGCACCTATAACGTACGAGCGGGCGATCGATCGCGCGGTCGACGCGCCGTAGCCGTATTTCGAGGTGGAACGACGGAGAAAGGAGCAGCAGAGTTCGAGTCGACTCTTATATGCAAGGGATTTACGCACGCCACGTCGCGTCGCGTCTCGTCTCTTCTCTTCGCGATCTTCTTACTCTTCTCTCAGTTCTCCCCCTCCCCCGCTGTCGTTCAAGTTATCGTCTCGTTCGTTGTTCCGCACTATCTATTGTGCGTGTCGCGTGCGCGGCCATCGCTTGCCGTCGACCGCTCGACGCGTCCGTTGCGTTTTTCTACCCTCTTCTGCCTTCTCGGTTGCCGCGTGACGTAATCCATTCAAGCGCTTACTACGCAATACAAGACACTTTCTCACTCGCTCTCTTCCTGCCTGCCGCGGTGGCTGCCGTCGCCATCGCCGCTGCCGTTGCCGCCGCCGCCGCCACCGCCACCGCCGCTACCGTCCGCTCCGCTCGTTTCGCTCGCGCTCTGTCGCGCCCGCTCAATGCCTGCGGCCGACTCTACCTCCCCACCAACCCCTCG